CATGGCAGGAGCAAAGAGCAAAACGGCAAGACCAAGAAGGGAGGCGCGGCAGTGGCAGCAACTAGCAAGCTCTCTCCCTTCCTTGTGCTGCATCCAGGCCATCTGCCCCCAGGCGGGTGCAGAACTCACCCCCATAATCCCAGCAGTGGATCATGAATTAATCACTACTCTAGAAGCCTGTCACCCCATCACTGCATGAGATACAAACCATAACAGCACCCTTCCACCTTGACATCCCTGAAGTGGAGACTCTTATGGACTGACTCTCCCCAAACTGTGAACTAAATTAACCATTTTTTCCCATTAATTTGTGCATCAGGCATTGTGTTCAGCAAATGGAATGCTGAATAATGCATACAAACAGTGGGAAAATATGCTGGAATAAATTTGCTAAATCAGATCATGTTCTGCCAGCCAATAAAGCCACAGGCAGAGGACTATCTTCCTTGTCAGGCACAGATCATTTTTATTTTTACCAAACAAAAACTATCTATACAGCCTCTCAGTTTCTCATAAGTCAACATTTAACTTTATTGCATCTAGGACTAAATAACAAGTAATAAAGTAACATCAGCATAGAATTAGATAATCTGTTTATACTTAAAGGATACCTAGTTTTTATTTGGATGGTTTCCATATTTTGGAAAATTTTTCTTACCAGAAGGATCACAAGAAGAGAAATGACATATCCTCTGGTAGTCCAAGATTTTGGGTGGCAAAAGGAAAGGGGACTGGTGGGGAAAGAAGGAAAATGGATCCAAGCTCTAGAGCTTATTCTCAAATTACTCTCAGATTAAGAAGATTCCTTCCATTACAAACACAGTAAATCCTGCCTTGCTGTCCTAATTACTTTTTTCACTGAGACAAAATACCTGACACCCAAAGTTAAATGTTTATTTATCTCAGTTTGTAGAGATTTCAGTCCATAATCTCTGTGTCCAAGGCAGGATGGTACACAGCAGAGGGGCAACAGTTTTGGTTGTGGAAAACAGCAAAAGCAGAGAGAGAGAGAAAGAGAGAGAGAGAGAGAGAGAGAGAGAGAGAGAGAGAGAGAGAGAGAGAGAGAGAACCAGCCTTTCTGTACCTTATATTGTGTGCAGGCTACTGGGATTGGATTAGGTAGGTACAAATCCGATCAGTATACTGGTCCAGCTATCACCCACCTTTAATCCTGTATGAATGAGTCACACACGCTAGGTTCAGCCACATCTGAAAAAGCCACCCTATGACTGCATGAGTTTTGGGAGGACATCTAGACACAAACCATAGAGCTTGGCATTTTGATGACAAGTCCTCCTCACAGAGAACTAAGTGGTGCTCTCCTTCACACGTCTCTCTGCGTATGTCCTCTGCAGATTAAGCCTGATAGATTATAGCATATATCTTCAAGTTAGTTGGCTCCTTCCTTCATTACATTTCATGTCATTCCGTATTCACATCTCAAGCACTGTGTTGGATGGTGAGGATAGAATAAAAGACAGCAACATGTTTTCTGCACTCACAGAATTCACACTCTAGCCTTGGCTAAGATAAGCAAGAAAAGAGCAAACAAATACACATAATAACAAGGTATTTTGAGGGTATTATTCTGTAATAGAAAGTGGAAAGAGGGGCCAGTTTTGAGGGGTTTGTTCACTTTGACCTTTTGAAAGACACGTCATGTTTAAATTGAGGACCTAGGGATGAGAAGGTGCCAGCCACAGGGAGGAGTATTTCAGGTACTGGGAACCATTAATGCACGGACTATGAGGCTGAGAAGTGCCTCGTGTTCTAGAATCTGTGTAAAGCCCAGACACTATGAATGAAGGAAATAAGGGAGAAGTAATATAAGGAACAACTAGATAGATGATGGAGGAAAAATTGTGAAAGTTCCTGCAGTAAGAAATTTTGAATTTGCTCCCAACTAAACAGAAAGCCATTAGAGGTTATTTGTTTGTTTATTTGTTGCAGTAAAGCAACTTAATTTGTATTTTAGATGATCAATTATGGCTGTAACTAAAACGATCTTTCATGGAAAATGGATTATGGAAGCCAGGCTGAAAATAAGGAAACCATTTGAGAGTTCACTGCAGAAGCTCAGACAAAAGATGAAAAGTTCTAAACCAACATGATGACTGCAGCGGTGGAGTGGATGGCCTGCAGAAGAACTTCAGAGCTAGGAGCTTCGCTGCTGGATTGGGAAGATATGAAAAAAGACATGACACTAAGTTATTGATATGGAAAAGTTTCAGGGAATGGAAACTTTTATGTGATTTGTGCAGGAAGCAATCAAGAATTCCATTCTAGACTTAGTAAACTTTCCGGATTGTGCAGAATATGACACATCCAGGTATCCAGAAAGCAGTTGGGTGAGTCAGGAATTCAAGGAAGAAATTTAAAAAAAAAAAAAAAAAAAAA